TTTTTTTACTGTTTTAAGTGTTTTTTTCCTCTGTGTTTACTAGATCGCTGACCTCGGCCTGGCCACCTGCCAGACGTGGAGCAAACTCACAAAACAGGAGTCGCGCAGGAAGAGCGGCAGGGGCCGATCGACTGGGGCGCGAGGGGCTGGCACGCTGAGCTACATGGCTCCAGAGCACCTGGAGAGCATACACACAATCTCCACCGAGAAGTCCGACGTGTACAGCTTTGCGATCGTGGTTTGGGTCATTCTCACAGGGGACGAACCATATGCAAGTGAGCTGGGCGTCCTCATATCAAGACAGAGCTTACCCATTTACATGATAAACAATCGGTCAGTGTTGTTTGCAGGCGTTCATGTCAGTGTCTTTTTCTGCGTAGACGCCAGGAGCGAAGACCAGATCAGCCAGTGTGTTCGTAACGGTGACCGGCCAGCAGAAGAACTCATCCCAGAGGACACGCCCGCGGAGATAATTGAGCTCATGAGGAGATGCTGGGACCAGAATCCTGAGCAGCGACCAACATTTAAAGGTCTACATTTTGAGTGCATTTTAAGCAGCATCGCGTCTCTTAAAATAATAGTCCAGTGAAGGAGAACATCTTTTCAACCTTTTCAACGTGTTCAAAGTTTGATTTCATCCAAATTTCAGATAATCAGCATTGATTATACCAACGTTAACATAATGACGTGGTTAGAATATTGTTTACACGCTCTAATGCCACAAACAAAATGCGTAGTGCTTCTTTTGAAAGAAACCTTACGTGATAACAAAAGGATTATCGTCAATATCCTTTCATAACATTTACAATATTTCTTTTACTTGTTGTCCTTCAACATTACTTCACAAGACCACAGCGCATTCCTTTTACTCCATTTACTTACAGGTTTTGTTCTTCTTCTTTGAATGTCTCGAATTAGATCCTTGCGAGGATCCTATTGTCATGCTCGTTTTTCTATTCCTTTCAGAGGGCTACAACTGCTTCCTCCCTTTCTACACGGAGAAGCTTGAGCCACACGTTGAGGAAGATCTACTGAATCTGAGGGTAAATATATGTTCTTCAGGATCTGATCTAACCTGAAGTTGTTGATACAGCTTGTGAGCCTTGTATTTGATGGTTCTCTGTGTGTTTCCCTGCAGACGTTATACGAAGGCCCAGAGGAACTTGTTGAGAAGATGAAATCTCTGTCAATGAGCCCTGATTGTTTTTCACCCAGTGAGCACGGTGGGTGGTCCAGACGTACTGAGCTATACACACTGTGACGTTTTCCTTCGCAGCCTTTACTACATTTAATGTTCAGAAATCTCAAAAACATATTGAAAAGGACGGTGCAGCTTCATTCTCTCTCCTTATCTTGCAGATTCTCCAGCTCCTCTGTTGAGTTCTGACAGAAACGTCTCTGTGCCAGTTGAAGCCAGTATTGAAGACCTGCACCAGAACCACTACGAACCGTCTGTGGAGTCTATTCAGACGGACGCAAAGGCAACCAGCGTCCCTTCGGCTCTGGAGGAGAAACTGGATCGGGAGCTTCAGTACCACAAACACGGGAGCTATAATTGTGAGAACCAGCCCCACGATGCCAACTTCCTCTACAACAACAACTACTCCAATCCTTTCCTGCAAAACCCCTCCAGCACTTCGGATCATGCAATAAGGCAACCAGAACAGGAGAGATCGTCTGTCTTTTCTTGGACAAAAGCTGAGCCAGTGCAGCCCACCAGCCAGGAAGAGGTTGGGTATCGCCCCAATGCGGGTCTTTATGAGTCCATGAGCTCCTCCATCTCGACATCATCCCACTTGCCTATGTCTGCCAGCACATCCTCTCTGCCACAGTTAAACCAGCAACAGCCACATTCCCACTTCGACCGCCAGCAGTCCTGGCCAACTTACCCAGTGTACGATACCTCCGCCCCTGACGCCACCACTGGCCGTCTCCTGAACCCCTCAAAGTGTGGCTCTTCCCAGGATCCAGGTGCGCACAAGCATGTCGGTCTCTGCAGATTCTGAACATAGATGTCTGAAGTGTTCACGGCTTCTTGTGTCACCTTTGTGTTGGAGTGACTGTGTTTGTTTTGCGCCCCTTGCAGGTTCTCTTTACATTCACAACGCCAGCGGGATCCAGATCGGAAGCAACAACACGATGAGCATCAGAGGTTTTGACACTTCTCTTAGCTCATCATCTATATCTACTACTGGCCAAGCGAGCTCTCCCATCAAAGAAGGCATTTTGAAATATGGTAAATATACAATAAAAACATTTCTGTCATGCAACAGTTGCAGTAGTTTCTCTATGCGCTCATGGTTACAAAACCAGTTGTAAAGTATTGTGATTTCTTGCTGAAAAATGATAAAGATAAT